AAGTTTATCGGAACATAATATATAATAAAGTAATTTGAACTTTATTTAAAAAAAAAAATTTACCTCTCAAATGGATACATCCATCGAAATTGTACAGGACCTGCAACTTTAGCCTCATAAGGCAAGTGAACTAAGAGATGCTCCATCGAATCAAAAAATGACGGAGGAAATATCTTTTCTAAGTTGCAAAGAATAATTGGAATATCTCTCTCTAGTTTGTCCATGTGCTATGCTTTTAACACTGTCGAGCAAATATCATGCAGGAAATTGCTTAACTCTGTAATGGAGCCCCAAACAAAATTCGGTAGAACTTCCTTGAAAGCTATTGGAATTAGTCTTTCCATCAATATGTGACAATCATGACTCTTCAAACCTGTCAACTTGCATTCATTCAAATCAACACATCTTCCGAGGTTCGAAGCATATCCATCAGGAAACCGTACAGATTTCAACCATTGACAAACAACTCGCCTCTGCTCCTTATCCAATGTATAAACTGCTTTTGGTTTTGGTCCCCTGCTGCTTGCATCCACATCTAGTGTTGGTCGATCACAAATATCTCTCATATCTTTTCTTGCGTTCAAGTTGTCTTTTGTTTTTCCGGTGACATCCATCACAGTATTTATGACATTATCGAAAACATTCTTTTCTATGTGCATGACGTCAAGATTATGATGAATAAGATGGGCCTTCCAATATGGTAGATCCCAAAATATACTGCGTTTTGTCCACTTATGTGTACTTCCGTACGCAAAAGTCGTGTCGTGAGGGTTCTGAACAACAGTTGGAAAGTCCTGCACCCGCTCCCAAATTTGATCGCCGGTCAACCTCAATGGTGGACGTGTTCTTTCAGTCCTATTCTTCATGAACTCTTTTTTATTCCTTCTGAATGTATGATTTATCGGTAAAAATTGTCTGTGACAGTCAAAATAGCTGGGTTTTTTTCCATGTTTTAATCTAAATGACTTTGATCTCTCCAAATATATCGGACATCCTAAGATCCCAGCTGTACTCCATCTAGATAACATTCCGTAAGCTGGAAAGTCATTTATCGTCCAAAGAAGAGCAGCCTTCATTACAAATGTTTGATCGGTAGAAACATCATATGAAAGGACACATTCCTTCCATAGCCGTTGTAACTTTTCAATCAATGGTTGCATATAAATATCTATTAACTTTTTCGGATTTTGCGGGTCAGGCACGATCAATGTCAAAAACATATAAGGTGTCTTCATGCACATACCAGGTGGAAGATTGTACGGCGTTAAGATAACTGACCAACATGAATAACTTTTTCCTGATTTCCCAAATAGGGCAAATCCATCAACACAGAGACCTAACATGATGTTTCGAGGCTCTATCGCAAACTCAGGGTACGTTCTATCAAAATATTTCCATGCCTCTGCATCTGAAGGATGACACATTAGATCCTCTTCTGTTTCATGATTTGCGTGCCAAGTCATGTGTTCAGCTGTGGCTTGAGACGCATAAAGCCTTTACAATCTGGGGATTAAGGGCAGATAAAACATTTGCTTGCATGGTCTACGTTTCTGATTACGACATTGCCTCTTGTTAATCTTGTACCTAGGTTGGCTACAGAATTTGCAAGATTCTGCATTTTCATCATCTCTCCAATATAACATACAACTCCTACTACATACATCCATCTTTACAACCGGAAGACCTAAGTTATCCACTAGCTTTTTCATATCGTAACAATCACTTGGCATGCTGTTATCACGAGGCATTGTTTCCCGCATTACTTCAACAAAAGAGTTGAAGCAATCTTGCGACACATTATGCTCTGCCTTGATATTTAACAGTCTTGCTGTCACCGATAACTTAGTATGGTTGTCACAACTTGGCCATAAAGGTTTATCTGCTGCTTTCAACACTTCCCAAAATTGATTAGATGAAAAAGCTCCATTACACACATTCTCATCAAAACCCGTTACTCCTATATCTTCCATTTGTGATGCATGACTAGTACCCACTTGTTCATGTGTAGGAGTAAAACTAGTACTTGCATGGTTCGAATCTGAAATAAAATTCTGACCAGCTGCATCAATCACCATCCTCTCGTATGGGTTCAATTGGTCATAATAGCTACATTCTTCCCTAACTAAAAATTGGTCACTTCTTCGATATCCTTAATCAGATATAAATGGTTCACCATGGCAAGTCCAATTATAATAATTCGGAGTAAACCCAAATCTACAAAGATGTTCTCCAACTGTATCACGCACATGAAATTTACCATTACTGCACTTTCTACACGGACACCTTAACTTATTTCCATCCATGAACTCATATTTACTACTAGCAAAGTCTAAAAATAGTTCCAACCCAGTACAAAACTCATCAGTCAATCCTTGACGTCTAGGTAAGTTCTTATTATACATCCAAGCCCTGTTTCTTTGCATTGTGTCTGTATTAAAATAAAAAAATCTCATAAAATATTTAAAATATCATATCTACTGTTGTTAATTAAAAAAAATTATGAAAATCAAAATTTTGTTTTTCACGCAACAATTACTTTGCAATTTTAAAAAATGAAAAAATTACCAAGTAAAGAAGGCTTACCCAGATATTTGACTGAAATCTTGGTAGCAGAAAGTGGTCAATTTGAAGAGAATTGCAAAGTTCACTTGGATTGCGAGACCTTCAATTGGACACGTACCTAAATAAAAGCAAAATCACTTAACATTCATTTTTAAATAATTTTTTATTTTTTCCGAATTTTTTTTTTAAAAAAAATTTCTTTCAATTTTCTCCGATCGCCGATCCGGCGATCGGCGACCGGCTGACGCCGGCGAGGCCGCTCGGCCTCGCCATGGCCGCCGGTCCGGCTGATCTGGGCGAGGCTGAGCGGCCTGGCCATGGCCGCCGGTCGACCTCGCCGTCGCCCAGTGGGCGACGGCGAGGTCAACCGGCGGCCCGGCGGCGAGGTCGACCAGCGGCCATGGCCACCCCGCGCGGCCTTGCCGGCCATGGGGCGAGGCCGCCATGGCGGCGAGGTCGACCGGCACCTCGCCCAGGTGTGTCCGTCACAAATTTGCGACGGACGGTTTGCGACGGACAAAGACCGTCCGTCGCAAATTTGCGACGGACGAAGACCGTTCGTCGCAAATTGGTGGCCGGTCGCCGGTACAACAAAAACAGAAAAAAATGTCAATAAAAAAAAATTCGCATCCAACGATGAATCAGAAGGACAGGACCATATTAGTTGCATGTTTAGTCACGAAATTAGCTACGATACTTACCGGTGGAAAAGCTTCACCGAGATTGATTTCTGGACGCACGGATTGTTGAGAGAAATGATAGAAGGAGAAGGTGAGAGAAAAGCGGGCGACCTGACGAATCACTACTGAGAGAGAGAGAGAGAGAGAAATTGACGGGTGGGGTGGGGTGCATATCAAAAAATTAATTTTCCGTCACAAATTAGCGACGAACCCTTTTTCGTCGCAAAATCCGTCGCAAATATTCGTCGCGACGGAAAGTAAATCCGTCGCAAATTTACGATGGAAAATTAGTCGTCGCAAATTTGCGACGGAACTAGCGACGAGTAACTTTCCGTCGCAAATTTGCGACGAAAATAATCCGTCGCAAATTTCCGTCCCAATAATCATGTTTTTTTGTAGTGGCACTTTAAAGATAAAATCCATCTCGAACTTGGGTAAGAGCAGCAGTTGTTCTAAAATTTCAAATTTCGATAGTAAATTTCCTCGAAAAATCATAGGAATTACTATTTAATATACTTTGAATTTCGATAGATAAAGGAAGTACCGAAGAAGGTGTTTGTGCCTCACCCTTGAAAACGAGGCTTGAGACTGACAATCATATCAAACAACCTAATGCTTTTTTCTTAATGCTTGGTGCATTCACTTTTATCCAAAGTGCCACCAATTCCCAACTCTTATTATCATTATTGTTTTTTTATTGGCAATTCCGAACTCTCAAATACTCATAAAAAAGTTCCAAACGATTGGTCGATCTGTCAGCAAATCCCGCGAGTGGTGTCAGTTTTAGAAATTGGATTTTCCTTCATATTATTTAGACATGCAAACAAAAAGATAATTGAAATATCAATCACGCCGTTGCAATGGTTAGCTAGCGTAGAGCTTAAGGCTTACTCTTAAGTGGTTTTGAGAAGTCTTAATCTTGAATCGGTCCTAGTGGTTCCTTAGTTTCATACAACATCAATTATTTACGTGTGAAGGAAGGGTAAAGACGTCTACCTAAAATAGGTAGAAGCTTGGAATGGTGAGACAGATTATAAATTCGGCTAGCAGTATTCACGGAAAAAATTTGGGATTTTTGGTTGGATTTTCCCTTAAAAAATGAGTTTGGATTGCGATAAACTCTTGGAAGTACCCAATGTATGTGAGTTTACTCCATCTTAATCATTAGATTATATAGGTCTCATGAGTGGCTTAATGATGTCAAGCTGGTTCAAATCAGAAGAGGTTCATATAAGACCGGTTTGGTATTGGAGGTGGTGGACTCGTGCAACGAGAGCACGGACCTGAGTGGTGAGTGGCAGGACTTGGCAGAACTTGGAGGGCCCAATAGGATTGGATGAGGAAGAGGAAGTCGCCGTGGCGGCTGAGGCCGATTTCCTGCAAAGCAGTACAGTGATTGATTCAGGCGGGAAGAAATCGTGGCCGTTGCATCATGTGGTGAAGACGGCACAGCCTTGCAAGCGGCAGTTTTGCCTCGGATAATCTCGTCAAAAGGTGTCCAAATTTCTTAAGCATACACTAGGGTATATACTTGAGCGTGAGACTATTTCCAGTCAGGCCTAATATAAATGGATGAAAGTCATATTTCACATATTGAAGTGCCTTGGCGCGTGAATTTTAGTATTCGAGGTCTGACTTCTTGTTCCATAGTTGAGTGAATGTTATATTCGAGTAATTGTAAAGTGAATGCCCTCAGAATTGAGTCTTGCTTAAGAGATGCAGACCGAACTTGAAAATGTTTGTCCTCTGTGGGAGCAGATTGCTCAGGATGGCGACACCATGACGGGACAAGGACAGAACGGGCGAACACCTCCGGTAGCCCGAGTGGTCGGCACAATCCACAGCGCGAGGAGGAGATGGCAATGATTGAGTAGTAACTAGCAGCTGCGTGGCAGAGAATGGCAGTTAACAACGAACACTTTTGAGGCCCTCAAGGTCCAAAACGAGTGGGTGGCACAGAACCTAGGAGTGCCCATACCGCCACTCGGACCTGCTTTGGATAAATTGCAGGGTGCGGAACATGGATTGGGTTGGGCATGTGGCTCCAGCAGATCAGTAAATCAGTGTACTTCACAGAGCTTGAGTGGCGAGCTTAATGTGCAGTGCAAGGACGAGTTGGCAGCGGAGAAGGAGCTTCAAGCCGATATGCAGGAGCAAGTGGCGACCCACGAAATATCTTCGGACCATCAAGGCGCAGGTAATGTGGTTCAGGACTTGCATGGTACAGCATCTAGGAGTGACGACGCGGCCACTGGGACCGGGTTTGGTGCCACCAACACCATGAGGAGGTCAGAAAATCTTCTACCGTGCAAGTCATCAGTGACAAAAGGTTCTTTCTTACATTACGCGGAACAACTCATTGCATTAGCTATGTGTGCCATTCGAATGAGCATAATTTTGTTGTGCAGAGTCACTTACTGAGTTGATGCTAGAATGCTGATGTCCAAGTTATTGCTGGAATGACTAGAACTGCTCGATGTAGTTGATGCTAAGAGGAGATGGGTAGAATGACATGTCGGTTTTTGTATTGCGAACCAATTGAGTCGCAGTGTTTGGAAGGAGGAGACGCGTGCAGAGCAGAGTGCTAAGTCTTTGAGAGTTCTCAAGTGATGAGTTTCTCTAGGGATGAGCGAATGGAAGGGCATATTCACAGTGAAGAGGTTGGAAATGGAACTGAACAAGTTTTTGCTATGCCTCGATATTCTTGTTCGGATGGAAACTGGTTTATCACGTCTCATGAGCACAAGATCAATCTTCAGATTGCTGCTTGCCACAGAGGCACGTTAGGGACGGTCCGGTCTGACCCTTGATCTTTTCTTGCGGACTTATCATCAGCCATTCGTACGACGTAGCATGAACCATGTACTAGTCTCTGTCAAGGCTATGATTGTATCCTGATAAACGGTACTCGTTAGCGATTAAGAGAAACATAGTTGCTTCATGGCTGAGATTGGCCTATCACTTGCTAGCAGACTCGCATATGTTCTTACGCTGTATCATTCCGCGTATGTTTGGTACGTACATCAGTTTGTTCTACGCATTAGAGCATGTTAAGATGCGTTAGATTAGCAAATAAAGAGTACCTATTTAGAAGACTAAGTAACTTGGTTCTATGGAGACACGTCAATTTACACTTAAAAAAGAGTTTATTACCGAGGCACAAATGTACATTCTCCGGAAAATGTTTTGTGAAGAAAGAACTAATCACAGCAAATAATACAATGTTACACTTACGACAAACACGTAAAAAGAAAGAAAATCATGACAACTAGGCTTAATTTAATGGAATCAATGGCTTCAAGCTGTTCTGAATTTAATTCACCCTCCGGCAGTTTGAGCGGATTTGACCTTGGCTTCCGATCAATGGCTTGATGTTTCCCATTCTGACCATTGATTTTGCGAAATCCTTCCAAAAAGCTTCATAATTGTGGCTATAACTCTTCACTAGCTCAAGCGCCGATTCACCAGTTGAAAGTGCCTGATCAGAGTGAAGAAGGCCCTTCTGGGTCAACAGGTTATTGTAGTACAATGTGTCGAAACGCGCTGGTGTTGGATCTAAACTTGCGAGGTTACTGTTGCTTCCTGTGCGCGGGCAGTAGGACTGGAGATTCTTCGCGAATGCCTTGTCGATGTTGCTGTCATTGAATATCCTGTCCCTGAAAGTAAAGCACTGCGCGAAACCGATCGTGTGAGCACCGCTCAGCGCGACCAAGTCCTTGACCTTAAGACCTTGTCTCTTGAAATTGTTGATTAAGGTGGGTAAGTCCATGTTCGGCGCAGGGATGTCGTTGTTTGCTGTCGTCCTGCTCGCCGTCGTCGAGTCTCTTCGTCCGAGTCGTACTTTCCACGAAGGCCCTCCTAACTGAAATATTGAAGAAGTTAACACCTAATTCGGGTTGGCAATGTCTTACAGCACATGAAGATCAACTAAACTTATGGTGGTCAACATCGAGATTTGCTAATTAACGGTCATCACGGGACGTACCGCAACGACGGAGTCACGAGCGGTGACAGCCAAGATGTCCGCACAAGATACCACCGGACGTCCGCATACTCTGTCGACCTCCGCCTTAATTTGGTCGATTACTTCAAACCCTCTAGCTGAATTGTTATTAGGAAGTGCGAACTTTTCGCTGTCGATGGTCGGGGTTGGATCCAAGAGTATCGACCCATCACAACCCTGCATCATTCAACACCCAAACATACATCAATGTTAGCAAATGTTGTGCAAAATCACTACTTTTGAGAACAACAAATTAATGTCAAATATAGCTGGCGCATATATACGTCGTACATTGACAAAACAGTCATGGAAGTGCAAGCGCAGCAAGGAAGCGCCCATGCGTCGCTCTTGCTGCACCGCCACCTCGACGACGCGCTTGATGGTGGGTAACGCTTGAGGGCAAACGTAGTCATAGAAGTTTGGCGAGAGGCCTTTATTGTAGGGACGCGTCGAGAGAGCCGAGGCTGTGAGGGACAAGAGGAGAAGTGCTCGGAAGAGGCTGAGGGAGGCCATGTTTGGCTGTGAATCTTTGAAATTGCAGTAAGATTGGAGTAACTTTGCAGCAAGTAATGGTGATTTCTGGGCTGCTTTCGTTGTGATCTTCTGGACTGCTCATTTGTGTACTTATAGGCTTAGCTTATGGTTGGACTTGGCCAAAGAGAGATCTTGTCATACAAGAAGACGTGTGCAAACCTTACCTATTATACCCATTAATGCAAGAAACGAGAACATCTTTCATACTTAGCTTCGAATGAATTGAACTGGTCGTCTAAGATTAATTCTACCGCCTATGCCTCGTGGTTTATTGCTTATACGTGGTCAATGGACTACCTAATCCATATCCTGGCTTTGGTTCTCTGGGTCCTACCAAAAGGGCAGATTTTGTTAAGATGGAAAAGTTAGGGAAAATTACCAAAAAAGTCCTAAACGTTTTGCAATTGTGCCAATTCAGTCCTAAATCTTTTTTTTTTGCCAATTCAGTCCTAAACCTTTTGCAATTGTGTCAATTCAGTCCATCCGGCCACTTTTGGCCGGCCGACGCTGACGTGGACGCCGACCGGCTAACGTGGCAATTTTTTTTTATTATTATTTATTATTTTTCTCTTTTTTATTTTTTTTTTCTGGCCTATCTTCTTCCCCGGTCGCCAGTCCGGCGACCGGCGAGAGGCTGAGGCCGGCGAGGTCCACCTCGCCGGCCATGGCCGAGGCTGGCCCTCGTCGGCAGAGGGCCAGCCTCGCCGGCCATGGCCGAGGCGGCCCTCGTCGGCGAGAGGGCCGGCCTCGCCGTCGCCGGGCGAGGTCGACCTCGCCATGGCCGGGCGAGGTCGACCTCGCCCGGCGACGGCGAGGCCTCGCCGGCCGGCGATGGCGAGGTCGACCTCGCCCGACGACGGCGAGGTCGACCTCACCAGATCCGGGCGAGGCCTCGCCGTCGCCGGGCGAGCTCGACCTCGCCCGGCCATGGCGAGGCCTCGCCCGGACGACGGCGAGGCCTCGCCCGATCATGGCGAGGTCGGCCTCACCCGGCGACGGCGAGGCCGCCCAGATCGGCGAGACCTCGCCGTCGCCATGGCCGGGCGAGGTTGAGCTCGCCGGGCCATGGCGACGGCGAGGTCTCGCTAGATCGGGCGGCCTCGCCGTCGCCGGCGAGGCCTTGCCCGGCGACGGCGAGGCCTCGCTTGGTCATGGCGAGGTCGGCCTCGCCCGGCGACGGCGAGGCTGCCCAGATTTGGTGAGACCTCGCCGTCGCCATGGCCGGGGGAGGTCGAGCTCGCCAGGCCATGGCGACGGCGAGGTCTGCCCAGATCTGGCGAGGCCTCGCCGTCGCTGGGCGAGGTCGACCTCGCCCTGGCCATGGCGAGGTCGATCTCGCCCGGCGACGGCGAGGCTGGCCCTCGCAGGCACTGGCGAGGTGAACCTCGCCGGCCTCAGCCTCTCGCCGGTCGTCGGTCTGGCGACCGGCGACCGGGGAAGAAGATAGGCCAGAAAAAAAAAAGAAAGAGAAAAAAAATTTCGAAAAATAATAAAAAATTATTAAAAAATTGCCACGTCAGCCGGCCGGTGCCGGCCGGCGTCCATGTCAGCGCCGGCCGGCTAAAAGTGGCCGGATGGACTGAATTGGCACAATTACAAAAGGTTGAGGACTGAATTGGCAAAAAAAAAAGGTTTAAGACTGAATTGGCACAATTGCAAAAGGTTTAGGACTTTTTTGGTAATTTTCCCGGAAAAGTTCTTGATTCTACTTTGTCAACCCTCAACTTCGAGAAGAGATTTTAGATCTTCTTCGTGAATAAGTCCACTTATCCTAAAAGGTTACTAAACTTTATCTGAAAAATTACCAAAAAAGTCCTAAACCTATTTTGCTTGTGTCAATTCAGTCATAAATATTTAAATTGTGTAATTTAGTCATAAAACTTTGGACAATTTATCAATATAGTCCTTACGGCCAATTTTGATTGGAAAACGTTGACATGGAGGTCCAGTCAGCGCCAGCCGTCCTATGTGCGTGGTAAACGTTGACATGGATAATTTTTTAAAATTTTTATGAAATTTTTTCCTTTTTTGTGTATTTTTCCTTTTCATCAGTGGTCAGTCTCAAGCGATGGCAGAAACTAGTCATGGGCGATGGCTGGCGAGGGCAAGGCGAGGGTCGCCTCGCTCGCGGCTGGCGAGGGCCACGACTCTCGCTAGTGGTCGGTGAGGGTCCCCCAGCCCTTGTCAACCATAATAAAGAAAAAAAAGAAAAGAAAAATTAAATTAAAGTTCAAAAAAACATTCACAATTTTTTTAAAAAATTATAAAAATTGTTCACGTTAGCTCCGGCGGTACCACTTAGGACGGCCAACATCCATGTCAGCGATTTTTGGCAAAAATTGGCCAAATAGACTACATTGGAAAATTTTCAAAATGTTTAAGACTCAATTGGCAAAATTAAAATATTTATGAGCGAATTGGCACAAATGCAATAGGTTTATGATTTTTGGGTAATTTTTCCAAACTTTATCTGTTAAAATGATGCGGATTGTTAATTATATAAATTTTTCTTGGAATGGTGATCATCTATTCTTTTGATGAGTCTTAATTTATGTTACATGCATAGGTGAATGACACATTATGCTAAAGATTAAATAAGATGCGATTATCTTTCGAGATCTTGTGACAAAGATTATGAATTATGACAGGGAATAAATCCTTCACATCCATTTTCTTGAAGCCCATGTACATAGATTTTTTTTTTGCCATTGCATGCATCTACGCTAAAATCTTCTTTTAACAATATTTCTTTTCACAAATTTTTATAGGTTTATCAGCCACTTACATGTAATAATAATTTATAAAGTTTATCTATATATGTAGTAGTTTATAGGTTCATCAGCCAATTGAATGTTTCAGGCATGCACTGATGAAACTCGTGACTAAATAAATCTTAATTTGCATGATTGCTAAACCGTGATTGGTCCAATTTGCAGCAACGAGTCCAAAGATTAACGCATGCATGCGAAAGTCCTGACCAATGGGAAGCTAGTAGCTCACCTAATATATTTTACCATATTGTCAATAAGGGTTAAGTCATCGACCAAAAATAAAATAAAATAAAATAAGGGTCAAGTCTTCACGCTTTCTGTGACAATAAAGTCATGGATGTGACTGTTCTCCTCGATATGTAGTAGTCAACCAGAGCCGAGCCTCAGATTCTTTAGGAGAAAATATTCAGTGGTTAGCGCACGCCAGGTCATCCGCCTACGTGGCGCGCATGAGCTTAGTTGGCTCCACTCAACAGAAGACACGTGGCGCTGAGTTGGACTTGCTGAAAAATAAAAAAAAGGCTTTCTTTTCTCTATGTGGGGACAGAGCTGAAAAATTAAGTTCCCGCCTAAAACATCCCCTCTCTCTCTCTCCTCTTTTCAATTTCCAAGGCCCTTCTTTACCTGCACTCCTGGGAAAGAACAGCCAAAACACTCTCTCTCTCTCTCTCTCTCTCTCTCTCTCTCTCTTTCTCCACCGCCTCCGCCTTCGCCTCCCCCTCCGCCTCCGCCTCTCCCAAGAGCCCCGCCGGTCGCTCCGAGCTCAGATCTGCGCCCAAGAGGGAGAGCCTCGCGTCGCTGCGAGCTCGGATCTGCATCTGGCACGTCGCCTCCCCCAAGAGCCCCTCCCTCTCGGCTACTGGATCCCGAGCCCCTCCGCCTCCGCCGAGCTCATATCTGCGCTCAAGAGGGAGAGCCTGCGTCGCTTTCTTGTTCTTTATCTTGTGTCCCCCATATGCTGAGTTTTCTTTACTGTGTGCCTGAGCAGCACCGTAAAATGGTTTCTTGACGCAAAGCGTGAAGGAGAAGCAGCGAAATCACTCACGAGCACACACACACACACTTCACACGAATCGATCGAATCCGACCAGGTTCGTGTCTTTTAGCTCCTTCGATGTCCGACGAATTCGTTCTCGGACGGTGGTTTTGATGCGCGGTTTTGTGCGCTTCGTTCGTTTCCTGTTTGTGGGTGTTCTTCATTACTGACTACGGTTTGGTTTCTGCAGAGGGGGGAGTAGTAGAAATGGCGTTGTGCGGCGATATGGTGTTGGACTTGAAGCAATGCGTAGTTGGGGGGGCAGAGCGAGGTGAGGGATGGGGAGGAGGCATTGGGGTTCGGGCTCGTGAGGTGCACGCGGGGTCTCGGGAGGAAGAGGGTCGGGATCTCGGAGGGCCCCGATGCGGCGGCGTGGCAGGCCGAGTCGACAGAGTTCAGAGCTCCGCTGAAGAGGCAGTGCAGCGCGAGGCTGTTGCTCGACGGCTCCAAGAAGTCCGGTCTCGAAGCCCTGCCTCAGGACATTCTGGTGAGTTGGCTTGCGCTTTCGATTTGCTCGATTTGCTCGAATGCTGCTTAAATCAATGCCCGGTTTGGATTATGATATGATACTTTATAATGGGTTTTAATGATTGAGCATTTTGGGTTTAACGGATTAGGATACTCGGTCACGTCGTGCACGGCGATTTGAAGCAGCTGGTTCACGTGTCCAAGACAATCAAAGAAGCTGTAAGTTCATCTGTAGTAATAGTATTGGAATTTTTCTATGCTCAATTTGTTTCTTGCGGGGCGGCGGTTGATTCGTTTCTTCTGCTGCAGACTGTCGTGGTGAAGCAGTGGCATTTTGCGTACACAATGCCCACGAAGATCCGCGCGTTCAGGAACTCGATCGATCCGCAGAACTCGAGTGACTGCAAGGAGATTGAAGCCCCGAACGCCCTGTTGAGGACTTTCAGGTCGTGTATCAGCCAGAGGAAGCTCGTGGATGTCACGACAGTGCTGTTCGCCTCGCCCGATGATGGCAGTGGACCCGGAGAGGTCTGTTCATGGAAGCTGAGATATGAATTAATCAGCTTAGTGCTCCAGATCCGGGTTCTGTAGAGTGTAGATAAATTTCTTGTTGTAGATTGGTTGACACGGATTTGGCGGGGAGAGAGACGGAGACGATGAATAGGGTTATGATGAACATGGAGAAAGAATCATTGAGCCGCGGTTTCTTCAAATGTTTCATTGAAGATGGATTGGCTTCAGAAGCTTATTTTTTTTGTGTGTACATTGTAAAGAGACAGATTTTTAGGTGATTTCCGAGTTGTTTGAAGGGCCATGGGCTATCCTGTGGCCCTTCCCATGCTGATAAAAACACGAGAGAGGAGTGCAGAGTTAATCCTGCACTCTCCTTGTTCTGTGTAATAAACCTGAGAAATGATATATTTGCTTCTGTTGTTCTATTCTTATCTTGGTTGCATCTGTTCTTGTGTGTGATCACTTTGAAATTTGTGGCCTGACTTGCACCACCACCATCACTTTTGTATGCTTTTGACAATTTTAATTTTGAATCTTTGATGATTTGCATTGATATCTCCAAGGGTCTTGGAA